CAACCTGGGCACCACCTAAGTCAACACAGGCTTGCAGACGCAAAGCAACATTTTCACACACCTTTCTACACATATTCACCGGAACTTTATTGAACTCCTGAACAATCACCTCACGCAGATGTTTCACACTGTCAATGGGATTAGTGTACACCTTGTCTTTGAGGTAACCCCAAAGGAAAAAGTCTGGTGGGGTGATGTCGGGTAATCGGGCTGGCCACTCCTCGTTAAGAACATGAATAAGCCGTGGATGGTATGGCGTTAGCTTCATGTCACTCAAAACTCTCCGCAAACTTGTCGTTGAAATGTCCAGTAGGGCCGACAAACGGTGGGTAGACTTCGATTTCTGAGGAGATGATGCCAGTTCCGCAGCAACACGTGCTTGTGTGTCAGCAGTTCGGACAGTTCTCGGCTGACCAGGATGCTTGGGATTCAAAGCACTGGCAGTTTCATCAAACTGCTTGTTTATTCGGACGATTGTGTCCCTGTGGACTGCTGGCGGTCCAAACTCTTCCAACATCCTGTGCTGGACTTCTGATACATTGTTAGTAACTGAGAAGAGGCGCACACATTTTACACGCTGCTCGATAGACAACCATCTACCGGCCATGACGTTTACTTGATGCGCACTAAGTAGGCAGAGTATTGACCTCGTTCACAGCATACCATATGATGCTGCCATCTATTGACAACAAAAGGTACTTTCCCATTATCCCATGTGTTGTTGGATTGGTTAGTTATTAATGATCAAAAACTGCCTAATTGAGTCTGGCCCACCCTGTAGAATCACATCATCGGCATAGACCAACAGCTGATGTGTCCCATTTAATTTCAGTCCCACCTGGTTTTCCTGGACCTTCCTAATGGCATATTCTAAATCAAAGTTGAAAAGGAGTGGCGATAAAGCATCTCATCTTAGACCATTCTATAAATGACAAAGTCCTGAATGTGTGTATGCATGAAAGGCCAGGGTAATATGGAGAAAATATAATAATGTAACATGTAGAGACTGTGACTTATAAGATGGGGTTTGGACTGTATTTATTGCACTTTAATACTTTCACAGAGTTCAGGACTACAGGCAATACTGCGCTATTGCTATTCTACACACTTTCCTGTTCACCGTTGCACACATTAGGATTCTGTCTTCGCTAGCCATATCCTGGCAATGAATTTCCTAACAGTCTCATTGTAACTTCAGCTCACATATGAAGTCTTATTGGCACAGTAAAATGCCTTTCTTGTCATTTCTCTGCAGCTGCCAATTCCAAACTCTACTCAACTTAACTACTGTTCTATACTACTCCTACTGTCAGAGTTACTGTTACTTTATGACTGGAAGTTTACTGCCAATCAGTTCTGTCTTGGCAACAAGCCCCTTGAGACTCGCAACACAGTAATTTTATTCTCCAGCTGAACACTTGCGGTATATTCCTTACGTAACATCCTCTCTGATGGGAGGATGGGTCTGTTGTTTAGAATTGCTGCTGGTCCTCGCCAGCGTAGTCATTCTCAGATCAGAGACCTGAGGGATTCGCGATATTTTACTGTCAGATTTTAGACTCCTCCAACCTGGAGGGCCATGTCCCCATGTTTATATCCCCCAGGAACAGGGTGATCCAGTTATACCCCCAGGTACTGGGTACCCTTTTTGTCACCTATTACGACTTGCAGGGTTATAGTAGAGGTATCTGACTCCACCTCCACATGGGATTCCTTTTACTCTTCTTCTGCTGTGCCCTCTTATAACTCCCCCGGCATGGACCCCATGGAAAACATTGTCTTCTATTGTCCGGAATGGGCGTTTACTGGTCTATTACCTAGCAATGGATGTTCTATGGTTGAGCGCTTGTGTTTACTGACCCCTTGCCTAGCAATGGGTATACATGTCACAGTAATAATAATCTTTAATTATAACATGCACTACTACACACAGAAATCAGTGATCACTGATATTTGTAATGTAATCAGTCTCTGAGCTCACATAATTATCTGAGCCAGTTATAAATATACAACACAGCGAGCTATACGCTATTGGCAAGACCTTTAAAAACACCAGAAGCTACACAGTAAAAATGTGACTTTATTTAATGAACAATTCTCTTACACACACTAACAAAATGCAAGAAAGTCAGCATGATAAAACTTGTATTAAAACATAGTTGACACCAATATAAATACACAAATGATACAATACATCATGCTTGCATCGTCAAGTTTTACATGTAAATAAAAAATAATCTTATAGCAAGATTAAAAGCCAAACAGAACTACACTCATAACTTCTTACGGAGCACACTCAGTTGCTTCATGCAGGCTTGGATGTCTTCACTGTCAGGGGCACATCTCTCCAGTCTGTAATATGCAAAACAATTCAGAGACTTGCCTATGTGTTTCAAAATGGGAATGAGATTTACTCTCAAATTAACAGAATAGATTCAGGATATGCTTGTTACTTGGTTCACAAAGTGATTTCTCACCTCCTTTCAATGTTAAAAACACATGTAAAACATTTTGCCAGTTGTTTTGTATGGTTGGGACACACAAAATCCAGAGAAAAGAGTACATAAAAATTTCTGGAAAACCTCAAAGGAGGAAATCTGCTAGTAAACATAGGCATGCATGACAGAATAACACACACACAAAACTGATCTTAGGGTATAGGCAGTGAAAGGCTGATATGATGTGCTCTGTATTGTGAAACCACTCACTTCTCCTGCAGTCTATCACACTCCTCAGTGCTCCATGTGCCCTTCTTGAGTGCAGTCATGCATTGTGCTGCAAGGCTCTTGAAGCATTGGCGTCGTGCTGCATTATGTGGGGGGTTGTCCCACAGAGGAGTGCCACGAACATATGTCCACGCTAAGAACACATACTCCAGTACACTGCCCCAGTGTTGGCTCTCCACCAACTGGCGACCCTGCTCCAGCACACATTTCTGCCAACATAACATTTAGTTACTGTAACCCTACAGTTTGGAATGCACACTTTAAATTTTGCGCAACCATGTATCTTACTGTAGACTGCACTCTACAGGAACAAGTACTTGTTTCCTTCTCTTATTCCTCATTAAATGTGTGGAGCCAGACCAACTGTTTAAAGACAGGACTGTAACATTTCTATAGCCATTACAGTGTGCATCTGGCCTGTCCCTATGTTGCTGTCATTCCATACTTGTTGCAAACTGCATGTAGCAAGTAAGTTGAGAACACACTGTGATGCTCCATGGGCATAACTGTACTCAATCACCTGACCATTGAGAAGGAAAACTGGACTGGCTAATGGAAAGGGCAGTCAAAATGTCTCGGCTGACACTTGGGTGCAGGTCCAGCCGGGACAGTGGTGGGGCTCTGTTGACCCTGCTGGCCAAAGTTTTCTTGTTGTTAGTATCCTGGGGGAAGAATCCCCTTGCAGCAGAGGTCCCAGTTAGTGGGTCTTCTGCTGCGATGGGAATAGCAAAATCTGTGAGAATGATGAAAGAGGTCTATTGTTGGAAGTGGGTAATCTGACAATCATGAAGAACTGGGAAGCACAGCAGAGGAAGAGACATAGATGGTTCCCTCTCAATAAGCTGATGTCTCCACTGGTCTCAGTTGTAATCAGGCTTGGACCAGTGGTGGGGACTCTGCTATTCCTGGAGCATACTCCAGAGGTGGCTGGACTGTCCTATTGGTTGGCTGTCTGTGAGAAAGGCTTTGTCTCCCTGCATTCTGCTATGAAGAGGCACTCAAAATCTCTCAGGGGCTGATGGTGAATGGTCAAGTGAGACTGAGACTAAAGAGGGCTCTTGATGGGGGTAACCTGACCATCAAGGAGAAAGCTGGGACACATTAGGGAAGCAGTATGGCAAAGGAATGATCTCAAGGAAACTGCAGTCTCAGCTGGAGATTGGCTGTAAGGCCAGCTAGGACCAGTTGTGGTAGGGCTCTGCTTGCTGTCCATTTTAGCAAACAAGGATAACTGGGAGAAACCACCCTGTATGCAGTTCAAGAGAAGCTGAAGCCCAGAGATCACACTGATGGGGAGATTTGGTGCCCTGTTGTCAGTTCATTATGAACTGCCTGGATCAACTGTGGTCAATATGGAATCAGGTACCCTCCAGAGGGCACTGGAGCTTTACTCCCTGGATCACAGGGCACAGTTGTTGGGTTTTCTGCTGTGTTGGAGATTAGTCAGATCTCTCAGGGATCCAGTTAAGGGTCCATCAAAGGTGAAACTAAGAGGGAAGTGACTAATCTGACAACCTAGTATTGACAGGCTAAGAGATGAACCAGGCCAGTGGGGATGTTCCAAGTTCAGTCTTGGGGACTGGGATCTTGCCTGGCACTTGAGTATGGGTTTAGCTGCCCCAGGCACAAAAGACGGTGGCTGGAGGGTCCTAGCTGCCAGTGCTGTGCGGTGGAGTCCTCTCTATGCTTTGAAGGACTCAGTTGCTGGGTCTCTGATCTTCTGCTGTAGTGGAGCAGCAGTCATATTTCTCAGGGCCTCTGGTAATGGTCCAATGAGGGAAAAGATGTCTCTTGATAGGGGACAGAACACAACTATCAAGAAGAAGTATGAGACAGGCTAGTGACAAAGCATGTCAGCAGAGGGATGCTTCTGTCAAAGGAGCTTGGTTATGGGTCCAGCTGTGACCAATGGTGGGGGCTTAGCTGTCCCCATCAGTAAATGATAGTCGGTACCTCTATGTACCCTACTACCAGTAATCCAAGACAATATCTCCTAACAGAAGGCTCACTTATTTGGCACCCTGCTGCTGAGAGGAAACAGTCACTAGGTCTCAGGGGCTTTGATGTGGGACTGGAAGAGGTCTCTTGATGGGGATGAGTAGACTATTCTCAATAAAACCGAGGGCTTGGCTGGAGCTTAGTTGTGGGTCCAGCTGTGACTGGAGATGGGGGCTGAGCCATTCCTGTCGGTGACTGGATCTGCGTAAAGTTCCATCAACATGTCTTCATCACCTATAAGTATGCTACCTGAACCCATGTCCGATACTGCAGAAAATCACAAATTAATAGAGTGAACAAAGTGGAATGAGTGCACTGTTTGCATTCTTTCACTGTCAAAAGGCTTCCATTACTAATGATCTGTATCTGGGAGGAAGTAAAGCAACAGAAACTTGACTGTAAGGAATCTGAGAAGATTGAATGGAACAATTATTGTGTATATATATGGTATATACAAAGGCACATGTTCCAAGTGGAAACCTAAAAACCTCTCTTCCAGCTGCTAATAACCGTGTGGTGGTATGTGAGTCAGAGTAACTGACACCCATGAAGTGAAGAGGAAAATAGCTGACAAAAATGTAGATTGACATGACCCATACCCAATGCATGGGGTTTAAATAATGGCTTTTGATATGACCCATCCACAGTGTATTAATCCAGTAAATACAGCATATTGCCATTCATGTTAAGGAAGAAAAGAAGCAGAAGCATCATAAGCAGACTATCAAGGCACAACATTCTTCACTTCCTCATACTACCTTGAATGCCAGCACATGTGTGGCAGCCCTGCTATACGCAGGTGAGTCAGTCTTAGAGGTGAGCCTTGAATTTGGTAGTGACTTGAAAATATTCTTCTTGAGGTAACTGAGTTGCTCCTCCAGTGGGCGAATATCTGGTGCAGGCATAATCTCCTTGATTTCCTGCCAAAAAGAAAATGACCATTATTCATTACTTCTCCATGAACTATGAGCATGACCTGGAAATTACTATGAGAAATGCACTCACTTCTCCCAAGTCCATGTGCTTGTCCACAAGTTGCTGGATTATGTCAATCAGCTGATCCTGAGACAAGCCTTTCAGTGCTGCCTGCAAGGGACTGGAGGAATGTGATGATGGCTTTTCAGTACGGCACTTCTTGGAGTTGGGTGACACCTATGCATATAAATGCAGGAAAAACTGTCTTGATGAATAAGGATAAGTTAGACATGTCATAAAAATGCTAAATGGTGTGTATGTAGTTAAAAAAATTAAAACTGCCTTCAAAATCAATGGGAATAAGGATAAAATAAGATATGCTGTTCTCCAAAACACTAAACACATATGTTATTCCATAACACAGTGCACAAGATTTCTAAGAGTGTTCTGCAAGTGGGATATGCTGTAATAATGCTAAACAGAAAATAAGTTCTGGAAAGAACAAATTGCCAAATTTCCTTTGATATGACATGGACCACAAAGAGAATCACATGTCCAACAATTCTTCGTTTGTTGCGTGTGTATTCTTTGCCATGGGGAACATGTTTACCAAGCCACTGCCTAGCAATGATAGGGGGATACACATACAGACACAACAAGGTGATCTCATAAGCCTACTTTCATTTTTTCAAAATGGGGGGGGGGGGACCAAAGTCTGTCTTCATTATCAATGGGAATATAGTCGAAGTGAGACATGGTGTTCTCAATTACAATGCTAAACAGAAAAATTACACAAGGTTGAAAAGGGTGTATTCCATAATGGAGTACACAAAATTCCCAACAGTGTTCCTGCAGTTTATTACAAAATTTGCAGATAACCCTGGTTATATGCAAGTCCAAAACATGCAATTTCATCTTAATATAATCAGCTGATTTAACCTGTAGGATCTGAAGTGCACACACAGTTAGTAGGAGCACAACCACAATCCTAAATAATTATTTTAAATACACTAAAATTCAATGAACATACCTTTTGTGTGGTTATCTGCTTGATGTATATATGGCCTTTTGAGGCACAATAGATCACTGTGGTCGTGGTGCAAAGGCCAAGAAGGCCCACCCCTTATACATTCATATATAGCCTTCGCTCCCACTTTACCTAACTGAATCTCTCCTTTGTATGGTACTCTCGAAGCACTTGAGAATTCAGTCTCATGTCACAATCCTCCCTTTGATTTTTAAAATTATTTTGTCACCAGCCAAATGCTCTGAAGAATTATAATAATTTTTGTATGCATCATTTAGGGTCAAAAATAGTGTGAATTTCCCATAGTCAGAGTCTTTGGCTTTACTGTCAATTTCGGTGTTGTTGTCTCTATAGTGAAGGAAGCATTTCAACGTATTACCATAGGAAGAAGTGCAAAATTGCTCAGGAGTTTCCCAGTAGTCTCTTATTATAGCTCTAATGTCATGATGAAATGAAACTAGGATATTCAAATTTGCTATGAAGTAACACAGAGAACTGAATGCACACTGTATCTAAGCTACAATAGAAGCATCTGGTTCCGACCAGCTCCGGCTGCAATGGAAGGATTTGGCATTCCTGTACATTACAGGTCCGTATAAAAAGTATCGGGAAAAATCTTTCCCTTACGTGACTATACACCGCATTACGCTCGCACCGCGCAGGCGTGGTAGTGGGGGTCTTACCTTTAACACGCGCCAAGCGCCATTCGCCTGAGCACATTCGTNGCAGCAGTAAACAACACCCGACAGCGTTGCTAGGCTATCGGCAAACACGGCGTCAGGCAACAGCGGTACCTATCACGTAACTGTTTTCTGTCTTGTCCATGCCAAGGCTAAATAAGGAGCAGCGAACACAATTCAGAGNTGATTCGCCAAGTGTTCAAGGATGAAAGCATGTCACAAACTGCAGTTTTTAAGTGGCACAAGCTCTTCAAAAGTGGCTGAGAGAGTGTGGAGGATGAGCCCTGCGGTGGACGGCTGTCGACGTCAAGAACCGATGACACCGTGCAACGTGTGCGTGACGTACTCAATTCAGACCGTCGGTTAAGTGTGCGCATGATTGCAGATTGTGTTGGCATTGATAAGATGACGGTGCACACCTACACACCGTGTAGGGTTTGTAAAGTGTGTAAACCCGTAACTGTTATAATTAATTGTAGCCGAGTCTTGTAGGTTGTTCAATAAACCAATTAACAATCCGAACGGCATCTTCAGTAGAAAAACATGTTACAATACTTATTATTTCCTTAGTATTAATGTAAGCGGTTTCTGTCGTCTAGAAACAATTTAACAGTTTTTAAAATATATTTTGTAGATGTTTCTTACTGCCTGAAAAAGAGAATGTTTGCGGCTCAGGATGACTGTGAAAGTGACTCTGAGTCAGTGGTATAGATTCTCTTGGAACATTTCTAGGATGTATCATCCCATTTCTTAGCAATGTCTAGCATCCTTTTTTCAATGTAAATAATTATGAACACAATTTATTCATACTGAAATAACATAAATACTGTTAATATAAGAAAAGTGCAGGACAATCCATTTAAGTATTGGCAAGAATATTCTGATATTTTTTGTAGCAAATCTCCGACATTCCCATTAATTATTACAGGGAAATTTTGATTTATGCGATTTCACCATTTGCAACCTTTTTTTAAATATAACTTTTGCATAAACTGAGGAGTACATGTATGTGAAATGTCCAAGCCTTAGAGAGAAATATGGCTCAAAATCAGAATCTCTTGACAAATTTGAGTGAAAGTTTCCCACACCAAATAAAAAATAATCTGTCCTGCGGGTTAGGCACTGATGTTAATCACAGGCAGGCATGATCTTCAGATCAAGTTGTTTTTTAAGATATATAATATTTCTTAAACACTAAGGCATAGATGGGAAAATATATTGAAATGTCAACAACACTTAGGTTATGATGATATAAACTAATGGAGTATCCTGGGATAAATCTGCCGTCAGGCATTATGATCATGGCAATGGGCCTTCAAATTCCATTACAGGAAACTTCTAGATTTACTGAGAACTTATCCATTGTTCAAGATACAGAGGTGCTTTAGATTGTAATTTGGCTAAGTGGTAAAAATTACTTGTCAGTCACTGTCATATGGGAGGAAGGGAAATGTGAATCTGACAATTAGCAAATATGATGAAGAAAGCAGTCTTCTGGGCTTTGGCGCCGTGTATATGTGGTGTTAACCGACGTTTCGGAGGAACGTATCGCCCCCATCTTCAGGGTTGAAGAAAAAGTATAGGTAAATCTGCAAGCGACACCGTGAGACACGTGGTTTGTCCAATCGTGTTGATTCAACTCTTGCATAACCATCATCTTGTATGGATGAAAATGCAAACCTAGGTGCAATATTCGTCTCACACTCCGATCCGAAATGCCTAATGGAATGACATGCTTCATTGCAGAACGATGGGGACTGGTTACTACTGCCCGCCTAACAGTCTCAACTTTCTGAGGTGTTCAGACATTTCATGCACCTCCAGGCGGTTTCTTCTTTAGTACTGAGCCAGTTGGTCTGAAGTTTGCAATCTACAAAAAATTGTGTTCCTACTGGGAAATTTACCGTGATGGCCCACATTAAAGGACACATGGAAATGTCGCTGAGTCAAGGTAACAGAGTCACCAATTTTAAAAAAATGTCTCAACGATGAAAGCATGATGTTCCATGGTCCACTGTTCAATGTCTACTGAAATGGCGTGCTTTGAGCTGTTGAAGGTCAGTGAGCCTCTTTTCCCACACCACCATCACCCAAATTAGTGCCAACTTGAAAATGTCAGGTTTCCTGCCGGACCCTGTATTCGTTACCACTGACAGTGGAGGTTTGCTGTTTCAAATAATAAATCATGAGAAGTAACTACAAAATGTAAAATCGTGTAAATTTTTGTCATCAGTACTAGAAAAATGGAGTGCAAATTTGGGGAAATGGAAAGTTGCACAAACATAAAATCCATTAAAATTTAACATTATTGGTATGGGCATTTGACCGGGACCATGCAAAATGTGTTTAAATTCAAGTGGGTGGGTACCGCCCCCAAAACACCCATAACATCAATTAAACCTCTCATTTCAATGAAACTGACAAATCTACATGCAATGATTACAGTTCCTTCCATTTGTCTTTGTTTTCAGCATTTACAATCTCCTAAATCTTAACATGCATAAAATGAGAATCCATTATAAGTCCAATTGTTCCTATCTTAAAGATCCTTACCTTACGACACTTCTCAGGTGTGGGGAAGAGCTCCTTAGGGTCACTGAGAAGCAGTCGTTTGCGAGGTGTGCTTCGCAATACAATTGTGCTCTTCACAGGACTAGCCTTGACAGGTGTACGGTCACGGGTTGACATTCCATTCTGTTTGTTCTGTTCTACATCAGGACTCCATGTTGCTGGCACGTGGCGGCGCCCACGTTGCTGTATCACCATCTCATCTGGTGAGGGTGATGGACTTACATAAGATGATGGCAAGTTTAAGGACACATTCCATAGCCCTCCAGTGTTGGAATTTGGCACTGCAACATGGATACATGAAGACAGAATAAAAGTATGACAATGGTTACACCCAAAATGAAAATCAACCATTTCTCTGAGATTAGAGCCCAAAATTACTGCCTTATTGGAGGCAGAAATGCCAGAATTCCCTATGTTAGCAAGGTCAAAGATGTGTACAAAACCTCTTTGGTGGGAGGGAAAAGTGAATGGTATTTGGATACTGTCCAGTCATCAGTTTCTCCAAATACAGTACTTTAGAAACTGGACATTTCCATCAGGTGTAAAATTGACAGGGGTTCCTGTTTGTTGGGTGTGTTAGAAGGAGCTAGATTCAGCCCTTGACTCCTTGATGTTGGTCTAGAAATATTAGGAAAATAAGACTGAAATTACTCTAACTAATATAAGTAGATTTCAGATATTATTTTTTTAAAACAAAATTTTAGAAAACTGTAAACTTATTTTTGTGTGGCAACTACTAAAGTATCCTACCATATAGGATCTTGAGTAGTTTGTATTATTCAGCTGCTTTCAATCCACCCAAAATGGTCACTATTAGGCTCAAGAAAGTCAAGTATTGACTATATCTTGAACCACCTAATGCTACAAGCCATGCCCACCTCATCATTCTTGACTTAATATGTCTTATAATATTATGTGAAGCATAAAATAAAATAAATTCATCATGTAATTCTTTTTCCATCCTCTGTTTACATCATCACTTTCAGATTTAGAAATTTTACTTAGCATTTCTACCAGACATCCACAATCTACACTGATGCCTCAGTATTATAGTTCAGATAATCCAAAATGTTTCTGTTTCTACTTGGACATTTGAAAGACCAAGAATCGTTTTGAATTCATGTACTACTCAAATATCCAGGAAACACAAACAAGGCAACAATAATATGGTAATACCTATGGCTGTGATGGAGGGCAGGTGACCATTCTCAGACACACTCAGCATACCAAGACGTGTGGGTATCTCTGCAAGGGCACTTCTGGTGCTGCGACGGTTCTGCTGCTCTGGAGGAGGAGTGTTCATCTTGTCTGCAACACACCAACAAGTTGTGTGAATCTAAAGAAAACCCAGATTCACCAGCAGCTTGTTTCCATGGTTTATATTAAATCTAATAAAACCTAACTCAAAGGAGTTCGGTTTGCTGTTCCACATCACTAACATTGATTCCTGGGTTCTTGAAATAAATCAACTGCTGAAAAGAATTACAGTATGAGTTGCAACGATGAATGGCGATTCGAATACAATCTGAGAGTTCTACGTATTCTCACTTCAGAAGATGTACATGGCAAAGGCAAATAATCGCTATCACGATATCCAGTTCTATGACCGATATTCGAACTGAGTACCTGGATGATTACGGGTCGGATTACCGGGGAATCAGTTCGATCAGTCGTCTATTATTACATAGATTTAACCATAAACTAAATAATCAGTTTATCAGCATAAGTAATAGCAAAGCAGAAACGGCATCGATACAGCTGTCCAGCATCACTTTCTTCCCGCGTCGATCAGGTCACTGGTTGGGCTCTACCGGTAGTAATACACAAGGAATTCCAACAACACCCTCGACACATAGGAAATAACAATATATATCTTTCAAATCTACAATACTATGAGCAAAACACATTTCACCTACTGCAAAACAAAAAATTCACTGAACACACACAAGCACCGTAACTAACAACGTCCCAAATTCTGTTTACCCACGCGAGAAATTTCGCGGGAGTTTTGGCACCCGTACTCTGATTGGCTCCAGCTGTGTGAAGGAAAACCAATTGAATTCATTGTGGGAATGAATCAAACTGAGATTGAATGAACAAAAATGAATTTTCCGCGATGTTTTATGAATATAAATGAAGGAAAAGAGAGATTAACATAGTTTCCCACTCAAGAAAATGAAACATCATGACGGTCCAGTTCATATAACTGCATTATTTAATTGCAGTTCATTTAGAATCGAACGTGTACTAGTTTTTTATTTTGAAGTTCCCACTACACGATGGTTGTGAGGAGCGTGAGGAGCATGGCAAGGAAATTAGGTGGCATTAGGTTAGGGTATTGCTTAAAGTATGCGATGGGAAATGGTTTTAACTAACATAAGTGTGTTATTTTATTGTATGTTGCGTTATATTGGATTCTTATATTTTATTTGGTTCACATTGTTTCGTTTCTCTTTACCGCACATTTACAAAATACTGGGTGTAAGAAGTCACTTCCCAGTCATGACTTTACATTTCGTTGATATTAACAGTGCAATACCAGCATAGGTGAAAAATTGAACATTATTATAATCGTGAAGATTTTAATTAACTAAATATTGCAGTGCTGTGAGCCATTGGAAGAGTGAAATGTTACTCTTAGTGAAATCAATGCAAATGTTAAGAACGTTTGTAATGACGAAGCAGACCAAACCAATATTAATATGCAATTTATGCTTGAGGAGGGGGTATGTCAGCCAGTTGCCTTTGTATTCCTCTCGCGTATCACCCTTGGGGACTGCCGTTAAATATAAATTATTATCAACATCAGCTGTAATCAGACTGTCTGTGAAGACTCAGAACAAGAGGAATGTAGTGTTTAGCATGCCAGAAGCAAGAAGATTATTGTCTTTAGCCAAACCTGAGAAATGGAAGTTGTTCGGTAAGATGCTTAAGTTCAATGTTTGTGGTGGTATATTAGTTTAAAGAGATTGTAATTTCAGGAATAGAAGGGTTTGTTTTCAGTTTTCTAAATGTGATACTTGAGCATGTGTTATTGGCACTGTTTTTCCTATATCAAAATTACTGCCCTCTGTTAAGAAGACACGGAATAAAGTATTAGTTGTGTAAATAGGGTCTTAATGCAGAATTTGATGCATCCAGACAGAGTGAAATTTGGGTAGGATTTGTGTTAGCAACTTCGTAGCATCTTTTGCCATTTTATAGGTGCTGTGTGTCTTCTGCTGGTGTCTAGCTCTGTAACAATGGCTGTTCCATTTTGTCTTGGCCGTGTGATCGATATTATCTACACAGCTGATCACCAGAAGATGCGGGAGAACCTTACCAAGCTGAGTGCAGTGCTTCTGGCAGTCTTCCTAGTGGGAGGACTCTGCAACTTTGGACGTGTGTACCTCATGTCTGTCTCAGGTAATGGACAGGCAGTTAGTCTGCATGGTGTATGTAACACATATTTGTCTACAGTTGGTAATGACTAGGAAGAACATGATCGTGATCTGCAACTACTTATAGTGATGCTGTCTTTTCAGGCCAGCGCATCACACAGACATTGCGACAGACTGTATTTAGTTCCATAATGAAGCAGGAAATTGCATTCTTTGACAAGAACAGAACAGGTGAGCTCGTCAACAGATTGTCAGCTGACACGTCCCTTGTCAGCCAATCTGTAACAATGAACATTTCAGATGGTCTTCGTTCTTCCTTCATGGTTATGGCTGGAGTCTCCATGATGGTGAGTAGAGTATGTGTTTATGTACAGATGTCATTATCAAAGTTATGCAAAAGGATACATTTGTGATGTCACATTATTAAGAGTTGTAGTACTTAATAGACAGTACTAACAATTTTCATTGGGTGCATCCTGTTGTGTTATTATATACAGTTCTTTATTGGAATCTGTCACAGCATAAAAAGGTGATGTTGACATAGATTGTTTCGTTGTTGTGTTGCCTCGGATCCCAATAAAAAATCATAGACAATACTAACAGATACAGATGATATTTTTAATTGAAATAAAGAGCAGAAGAAACAGGAAATTCAGTTCAGAATCTTTTGTCTTTGTTTAAAGAAACAAAAAAGTAAATATGAAGTCACTAGTATTCAGTGCTTTACGTTTCACATGGAATATTTCAGATCTTCAACTTCACTTTAAAATACAAATAAACATGTGAGCTAGCCTATTGTAGTATATAATATAGTATATATTATGGCACAACTGTGGATCCAATTGACATAAATGCAGATTTACACTAAATGTGATATGTTAACTGTAACTGTAAACAACCTGAAGAAATATGTTGCCTTCAACACCAGCCTGATCTAATGCAAATTATGTTGTTTTGACAAAGAAAACAATAAATGTTATCTATGGAAGTCAAGGGATTGAAGAGAGGTATATACTGAAATGTTTTACAGTGTGTATCCTTCATATAGTATATGTAGTATGAGTGAAGCAAGGAGTGGATGATTGGAGCATGTAGCAACTACTGGAGGAAAGAAGATAAAAAGTAAGTAAGTAAAGGTATCCCTGTAGCAGGCTGTGGAGGCCCATAGGGTTGTGGGATGTTGGAAGTTCCCACATTTTCTAGACAGTTGGCTCACAGATGGCGATAAGGTTGTCAGCCTTATGCGCCGGCTGCCCTTTACCCTCCTAGAAGATTCCTGATACTCATTTCTGTCAGAGGCGGAGGAAAGAAGATATACATATAAAATTTTAGAATGAAAACCTTGTGTATAGAACCCCCTGGAGGGTCTTTCATATAGATGGGAGACACTGTTACTTTTACATATTTATAATTTATTTAACATCATTATTACTAGCTCAGACTATATAGCATCAAATCTGTGGTGATTAGTGATCAATGAATTGCAGAGGTACTCTTCCAGAATTTTCTTGTAGGGAATGATGAGAACCACGAAAAATCTTGATCAAGATGTTAGCTTTCTGGGCTGAGGTTTGAACCCAGGACCTCCCAAATACAAAGCAGGAATGCTATGCACTTGATCCCAACAGTNAAACCCCCTCACCACGATAAGGTGGAGACACCAACGAGGGAGAGTTGAAGTACACATGATTAAAATGGCATGTAGGGAAATAGGTTTTGAGGGTGTGAACTGTTCTGAGCTGGCTCAGGATAGAGTTCATGTTTATGAATATACAGGTTCCATAACAACAGGGAACAGTTGACTGCCCTGTAACATGGTATTAGGTAAGTGTTAAGTTTGAAGCATTTACATTTTATGTAACAAATATTACACAGCTGGTGTTTTAATATAGCATGAGTCAGTTACTAAATTTACTCTACGCGTTGATTCCAGACAGATTGCCTTATAAGAAGGTAAAGGGAAAACCTATCCCTGTAACCGGCCATGGAGGCTCATAGGGTTTTGAGACGTTGAGGGTCCCACATTATCTAAACAATCAGCTCACAGAAGGCAGTAAGGTTGTCAGCCTTATGTGCTGGCTGCCCTTTACCCCCAAGGAAAGTTCCTGGTACTCATTTCTGTTAGACTGAATCAATACCAGGGCCATAGTGTGGCTAGAAGGATTAGGCCAGTTAAAAAATCCACCTCATCAGGACTCGAACCTGCAACCTTCCGGCTTGTAGCATAGTGCCTCAAGCAACTATGCTGCTGCATGCCCCCCAGCTTTTCTTATACGGTTTGTAAAGTCCACTGTCAAGGGCAACTGCTTTTGTACAAAGTCACCGAAGTTAGAACATGGATGCCTTTGGGAGGATATTACTTTGTAGTCTCATGATCATAATGAAATTTTCCAATAAGCATATTATGCCCAGGACTCAGGTCTGTGGTGCATTCTGAATTTGTGCCTGTTGCAGTTTCAAGTCTTCATATTTCAGATTTGTTTCTGTATCCAGTAATTTTGTGATCTGCATGTCATTCAAACCACTATGGAAGGTGGTTTGTTGTAACCTGAAAAAATCGTCTCTTGCAGTTTCTTATGCATGCATGTACAATTCTTGTGTTGTAGTTCTATTTGTCACCAGAGCTGGCACTGGTTGGCCTATCCATTGTGCCGCCTCTTGCCATGATGGCTGTGGTGTATGGGAGATTTGTGCGGAAAATTGCAAAGTCGGTCCAGGTATGACACTAACTAGCTTTCATCATCTTCATAGAAATTAACCATAGTGTAAGCCTCATTCTCATTCCAGCTTCTGTTTAGGACTCACTTGCCACAGCAATGCATGTGGCTGAGGAGAGGATTGCCAACATTCGAACAGTAAAATCTTTCAGTCAAGAGAGCAGAGAGTGTGACACATACAACAGCAAACTCCAGAATGTCCTGCAGCTGGCTTACAAGGAATCATTGGCAAGAGGCATCTTCTTTGGTCTGGTGAGTACATCACCTTTAACCCTATCTCTGATACTGAAGTGCAGTAGACAGTATTCAACCACGTGGATATCCTTGTACAGTCCAACCTCGCTTAACGAGCACCGCTCATAATAAGTAATTCGCATAACGAGCAAAACAAATTGTAAAAAAGTGACTCACTTAACGAGCGATGTTTCGCATAACGAGTGACGAGAGAGGAAGTCTCGGATTGTGCGCTTGCTACATCAGTCTGTGTTTAGCACTTGTTCCGCTAGCATCTTAGTCTCGCTTGTGATCACACATTTTTCCAAACTTGTGTTCAGACATATTATTTGTGATTTTTTTTGTGCAAAGTTCAATAACCCTTGCAAAAATGTCCCCAAAGAAAAAACTGCAAAAAGACAGCCATAAGAGAATAAAAAGAACTGTAGAAATGAAACATAAAATCATTGAAAAGCGAGAACGAGGTGTGAGCGTGGCTGATCTAGCACGCACATACAGTCGGTCTACATCAACGATTTGCACTATCCTCAAGAACAAGGACAAGATTAAGGAGATAGATGCTTCAAAGGGAGTGACAGGAATATCTACGCAACGGTTACGTATTCTTGACGATGTTGAAAGGTTTCTCCTCATATGGATAAACGAAAAACAACTGCAAGGCGACACTATTAATGAGAACATCATTTGTGAGAAGGCGAAAGTGATTTTCGCCGACCTCGTTAAGAAGATGCCAGGATCATCAACGGCTGAAGAAGCATTTGAGGGAAGCCGTGGGTGGTTCGATAAGTTTAAGAGAAGAACCGGCATCCACAGTGTTGTAAGACACGGTGAAGCAGCAGAGAACTTCATCAGCGACTTCAAGAAGCTCATAGATTCTGAGGGTTACCTGCCGCAACAGGTTTTTAATTGTGACAAGACGGGTCTATTCTGGAAAAAGATGCCGAAGCGAACCTTATAACAGCAGAGGATAATGCATTGCCCAGCCATAAGCCAATGAAAGACCGTCTCACGCTGCTATTTTGTGCCAATGCAAGTGGCGACTTGAAAATTAAACCGCTGCTTGTTTGCCATTCAGAAACTCCATGAGCCTTCAAGAAGTGTAAAGTCCAGAAGAGCAGGCTAAATGTGATGTGGAGGTCCAACAACAAGGCTTGGGTGACACGTGACCTTTTTACTGATTGGATCAATGAAGTGTTTGGTCCTTCTGTGAAAAAAATATTTGCTTGAGATGAATCTGCCACTCCATGTCTTGCTTCTTATGGACAACGCTCCTGCCCATCCTCCAGACCTACAAGATGACCTCCTTGAAGAATTTAAATTCATCAAGATCCAGTTTCTGGCTCCCAACACCACTCCGTTACTCCAGCTTATGGACCAGCAGGTTATTTCTAACTTTAAGAAGCTGTACACTAAAGCATTCTTCGAGCGTTGTTTTGAGATGATGGAAGGGACCAATCTCACCCTCAGAGAGTTTTGGAAATATCACTTCCACGTCGTTGCCTGCCTCAAGATGATCGAAAAGGTGTGGGAAGAGGTTACCAAGAGAACCCTTACTTCTGCTTGGAGGAAGCTTTTGCCGGAGAGCATTGTCGAATGTGACTTTGAGGGGTTTGAGATAGTACCTGTGGAGCCTGTAGTCAACGAGATTGTGTCTTTGGCCAAGATCATGGGGCTGGAGGTGGACAACAGTGATATCGATGAGCTTGTGGAAGAGCACAGCCAAGAGCTAACCACCGAAGAGCTTATGGAGTTGCATTGTGTTTCACAGCAAGAAGTTGTGGAGGAGAGTTTGTCTTCTGGCGCAATAAGAGAAATGCTGAAAGCATGGGAAACTGTTGCATCGTACATTGAGAAGCATCACCCTAATAAGGCAGTGGCTATGCGTGCTACAAATTTATTTAATGATAATGCTGTGTTGCATTTTCACCAAATTTTGAAGCGTCGGCAAAAACAAATGTCTTTAGACAGTTTTGTAGTAAAAAAGAATTAGATATATATCATAAATAATAAACTAATTATTTCGATCTTTTTTTTGTTTTCTGCAAATCGAATTCACATTCCAGGTTGGTTCATTCCACATAGAAGAAAAGATGAAGATGATTCACGCTCCTTAACAGTGTATATATAATTTTCTTTGAATAAACGTTATACATAAAATTTTTGTTAGTATTTTTTCGGCGTCGAACGCATTATCATCTTTTACATTAATTTATATGGGAAAAATTGTTTCACTTAACTAGTGTTTCGCATTATGAGGAAGATTCTGGAACGAATTATGCTCGTTAAGCAAGGTTGCACTGTACATATAAATATAGATACTACCCATCCAAGCAAGGTGTGTGCTCTTTTTCTTCAGGGTGCTAGTGTTTTCATTTTTTATTTTTTTCCCCCGTTAGTACTTGGTCTTTTGAGGAGTCAGAAGGCACAGTGAAACTGCATGTATGACGAAGGTTTTCAACTTATGTCACTTCGACAAATTGTGAAGCTGCCACATACTTTCGTTCATCAGATGAAATATTCATATAAATCCTACCTGACATAATAGCTTCATAGATTTAATTTAATTTAATTTAAAATGTAACCACAATAAAGAGTAAATTGTGGAGTGAATATTAATTCAAATTCTTAATCAGGCAAAAATATCGGTAGCATAACAAGCAAACACCAGTAAAATTTGTCATTTCATTTCATTAAATTAACATTAAATGAAATAATTAAGAAAAGGAATGTGTAGAGACTCTTGACTCAGTGAAGATAATTGTGAAGTGAACCGTTTGTGCAGTGTTAGTGTACCAGGCAGCTGTACCTGAATTGAACATACACAATTTTGTTACTAACATGAATTTACTTATATTGGCAAATAGACTAAATACAAATGCTGTAGTATTAGATTCCGTACTTCTAGAACCAATTATTTTGACCCTTTAATCCTTTCTATACTGGCCATTCATTTTGTGACTACATATATAGGGAATTGAAGCAATGAATTGTTAATGTATGACCCTTGTTGAACTGTGTGTAAAGTGAATGATCAGTTAATGTGAAATTTATGTAATATTACTAAGAGGTCTTTGATTTGCAGTATTGATCCTTTTTCTTTGTTGGATACTGTGTTACTTGTTGGACCTAGAGTTGTGAATTGGTGAAGTAAAATTGTCATTTTGGATCTTGTGAGCTTGGAATCAATGCATTTGAAAGTCAGTAGTTTCACCATGACAGTTTTGTCACAAAAGTGACACAGATGAGTGTGATTCCATTTCTGAAGAACAGTCTGCTGATGGTGAGGTTGATATTGAATGTATTGTCAGGAGATGGTGTTAATGTACAATAAACATGAATATGGCATGGCAGAAGAAGTGGAGGTATGGTTGCAGAGCACCATGTCAGATTTTCTTATTCTGACTTCGATTGTGTTGCCACCATCATGTAAGTGCAGATTTGAAATCATTTAACTGTTTGAGTCTGCTATGTGCTCCTGAGCTGTACAGGATTATTTTACCAAGTGCTGTGTCAAGTGGTTGGCAGTCCTCTCACTCATGGAGCTGAGCCCTTCTGGAGGAGCCGCCAATTCTGCAGCTACTCAAGAATTTCCCAGCATTTTATGGAAACCGAAGGTTCATTACCTTGTTCACAAGAGCCCTCCACTGGTCCCTATCCTGAGCCAGATCTATCTGGAGATTGCATGTTAAAAAGAATTTACCTTGTAGACTGGCTGTCCTGACTGGGATTATTTGTGTTTCTTATCCATCTCAGCAAATTAATCAGTGGGATATAACCATTACAGTTGACAAAGCTATGTTAAAAATGCTTAATCACTCAGCAAACATTATTTTGTGTGAGTCACACCCTTACTACCCATAACACATTCAAAACCCTGTATACAGGGTGTTTCACGACTTTAGGACATAACTGCAGGAGGTGATTTCCTAGGTCTTTCTGATCAAAAAAGTTCATATAAACATGTGTCCGATTTTGGACGGTTATGGAGTTATGACCGTTTTTTCATTGTCGTACACGCCCTCATGTGAACCACATCTGTCATCTGGCAGGTCGCTATTTTTAGCCAGCTACAGGCAGAGCGTTTTCGTTATCTCGACACTTGAGAGGTACCTAAGGCGTGGTGGATTGGTATGTCCGGTGCGGTTCACAACCTAGTGGCAGCCTGTGTTGCGGCCGGCGGTGGCATTTTCGAAAATCAGCTTTAAGCACCAATAAATTAAAATTAAAGGTAATTTCACGAAGTTAACTTTACATTCATACTTTAAATGTATCATGTATTATGCTGGTTTATTATTTTGTTCCGTTTATTGTCAGTAATCGTTACCTTCTATTCTGAGTTTAAAACAGTCATAACTCCGCAACTGTCAAAAATTGGACACATGTTTATATGAACTTTTTTGATCACAAGGACCTAGGAAATCACCTCCTGCAGTTATGCCCTAAAGTCGTGAAACACCCTGTATATATCCTCTCTAAAGGGTTAAAGCACACTGGTTATTATACCATTGTATGCACCAACAGCATTTAAAGTAAACCTTACTGGGTGGACAGAGGATATTTAAATTTTCTCACCAGAAATGCACAACTTTTATAAATTTGCTGTAAAAGCAAAGAAAATTCTAATTTCAACATGAAAAATTATCGTCATATTCAGAAAAGAAAGTAGTTTTAGATTTTATAAACAGCACAGCAATATTTCAGTGTTTTCATTTGAAGATCACAATTATTTTTTGAAAAACGACGTAAAAATTTAGAAATACAGAATTTAAAACCGGAAACGAACACTGTGCTCTGTATAAAACATAACTTTTATATTAAATGCTCTACTTTTAATTAATAATGCAGAATTACCTTAGAAATTAAGTTGTATGTGATAGGCTTCAAAACATCCGTCCACACAGAGCCCGACATCACATTCCTGACAGTGAAACCTTGAGTCGCTCCTCCATCCATGTTTGCTGCATACCACACACCTCTGTGGCATTGATCTCTTCCCACAAAGAGCAACCCTTTGACTGAAATGTCTTTCATATAACCTCAGTATGACATTTTTTTCTGCCCGCCCCTTTGCACTTTCCGCTCTCTATTGGCGAACTGTTATGGACTGGCATATGCACACGCTGTTATTTATTTACTAGCTCAGAACAAAGCCCCATTAATTCTGCAGTCAAAGCTATGTGCTTATCTAAGTGCGGTATCAGTTTTCACCAAGCTAATCGAAGTACTATGTTTGTAGGAACAATCTTGGCTCTAAACACAGCCTGATTGTATTTCCTCTGGACAGGTTGTATAGACATTTTTGCAAACATAGGCTTCAAAGACCGTACATGTATTTATGTCAAAAGTTACAGCTACAGTTCATGTACAATGCTACATAATTCAATTTTCGGTAGAAAACACACACGTTCTTCAATTGAAGTCAGAATTAGAGGGCGTGTGATGCCGCATATATGCGGCAATCGGTGACAGTTAAAAACCAGCTGTGCCACATATAAGCGGCGATCATCGCGGAATGGTTAACAGTGAAAACCCAGCATTTTATCCACAGACTGTAAATATGGGTTTTATATTTTTCTCAGTATGGACAGTGATTGTATTTCCCTAAACAGCACTAATACATTGTTTATTTTTTATTTATTTTTTTTATTTTTTTTTTTTTTTTTTTTTTTTTTTTTTTTTTTTTTTTTTTTTTTTTTTTTTTTTTTTTTTTTTTTTTTTTTTTTTTTTTTGCAGTGTGATGTATCGTCTATCATGTTGGCAGAAGCTGAATTTTTAAATAGCACTTAGATGAATTTCAGGCATCAAAGGATTGAATGTTACTGCTTTGTGTTTCTGATATCCCTGTTCTTGATACAGTAGAGTGAAGTATATTGCCTCTAATGATGGTACTTGTGCAGTCAGGATTCAGTGGCAATGTCATCGTGCTGTCAGTGTTGTACTATGGGGGCATCATGGTGAGTGACAGCTCCCTCACAGTCGGGAACCTGTCAGCCTTCTTGCTGTATGCAGGCTACATTGGTGTGTCCATCGGTGGGCTGTCCAGCTTCTACTCTGAAATGAACCGTGCCTTAGGAGCGAGCACCAGGCTGTGGGAACTGGTGGACAGGGTGCCAGAAATTCCTGTGTCAGGTGACATTTTGCTGTAATGTGGAACTTTGTTGACATCTTAAATTGATTTAGAGATTCTTGTAATCTCCCACATGTTGCAGGTGGTTTGGTGCCAGCAAAGATGCCTGCAGGTCATATCACATTCCAGAATGTGTCATTTACATACCCATCACGACCTGGCATACGTGTTATCCACAATTTGACCTTGGACATCCCTGAGGCATCTGTCACAGCTGTAGTTGGTGCTAGTGGTTCAGGCAAGAGCACATTGGCAGCATTGCTGCTGCGGTTATATGACCCTGATAGTGGGACAATCCTACTAGATGGGGAGCCAGTGGGACAGCTGGACCCATTTTGGCTGCGAAGCCATATTGGCTCTGTCAGTCAGGTGAGTGTAACTCAGATATAGAGACTGTCCAGCTAGACATACATCTAGTGGTACAGTTGCATCCACATTGGCTGTGAAGCTGTATGGGTCCTGCCAGACAGATAAGTGGTGCAACAGTTGACCCACACTTACTGTGGAGCTGTGTCAGACATGTCAGTCAGATTAATGTAGCTTAGAGAAAGGGACTGTACAGCTAGACAGCCAGTAGGACAACTGAAGCCATATCAAGTAAGTGTGAGTCAGTCCATTCAGTGTGTCTCATAATGACTGTAATAATAGTGCTTCCTTCACAGGAACCAGTCCTGTTCTCCTGTTCCATCCGTGATAATATCTTGTATGGAGCACCGAACCCCTCGGCAGTAACAGAGGACCAGCTGATATCTGCTGCCAAAGAGGCAAATGCATATGACTTCATTACAAAGAGTTTTCCTGATGGCTTTGACACACTGGTTGGAGAGAGGGGTGTCATGTTGTCTGGGGGCCAGAAGCAGAGAGTTGCCATTGCAAGGGCCCTTATCAAAGTTAGTACACATGAAACTTGGCATGCTGAGCATAGGGGTCTGTATATTGTCATGTGATTGAGTGTCACTGTAACTACACTTTACAAATCACTATCACACAAAGGCTAGTGTTCTCAGTCACGGTCTTCACTGCACTGCTTGGTAACATCTTCCAATAGTGGATGATCCTCTACTCCTGGTCCCACATCCTCACAGGCTGGTGGCCTTCTCACACCAGCCTCCTACTCTTCTAACTGCCATGTCAAGACTCTTCTGTAATGGTGTCTGGTCCTTGTTATATAGCCCCAGCATGGACCACACAGAAAACACTGCTTCCAACAGTTACTGCATTGTTGTGTGTTACACCACCATTACGTAGTAATGGATGTTTCTGTGGCTCCACAGTTTTTGCTTTGAGCAAATATGCCACAGTATCATCAGTGTCACCATAATGACCACAGGTTTGTTAAAAGTAATATACAAAATTTCGTGACTTGTGACAACATTCATTTTCATACTTACTAAGTGTCAGTCTTAATTTTAATCTGCAAATAGTAGCAGATCAGCACCGGATGCCAGTGAATTTTGTGCCAAATTTTCTGTAGCAAATCAGCATTGTGTTTATGATGAGTTTGCTATAGCTGTTCAGACTTTCTTCCTATCACCTCAGGTTGGACACAGTTGTTGGAATAGCTTCTCATTGGTAGGTATGTGAGAAGGGCAGTGAACATTGTATGGTACAGAAAGTTGGTATGATTTCAGGTGTTTGGTACAGAGTAGTGATAACTCAGACTCAGTAGAATATGGTTTCTTACACAAGGAATATTGCTGTAAACTTCAAATGAACACCACCAAGATGCATAGCTGTATCAGCTGAGATTTTGATGGATGAAATTTCAGCACAGCTTGCATAATACCAGAATGATTATTAGTTGCTAGGAGAGTTCACTTACAAGTTGTTTAAATTCACGCTTGCATATTTGACACTATCACTATTGCATCCAGTGCAATGTGTATAATATGTGGAGGCCAAATTATCCAACTTACCTTGTGTTCACCATACAGTTAATCTGATATCTGATTGACACGAAGGAATGTTTATGCTCACTCCTGTCTCTGTCCATAGTCACAATATCAAACTAATGGTAATAATTTAGTATAGAACACAGACGTGAAATTACTAAACAGGTACCTGAATCAGACTTACTTTGCACATGCTGTGTTCAAGATGTAGCTTATGGCTCAGTCATGCTTTCTCTACATTTTCTTCACATCTCTGACTGACTGCTATGTTCACATCATGTAATTGCAAAACATTAAGTAACTTCAGCAGTGGTACCAGCCAAATTTTGAATGAGATTTGGTACATCTGGTTGGCTAGTTATCTCAGCATTATTCTACCTTGAGCAGTAAACCATCCCTATAGAAGGTAAGATCTATGTCCCATTTTATAGGCGAAAATAAATCCAATATGTAATGATGCAAGGCATCACAAAATTTATTAATGATTTTGTTTAAAAGCTAACATGATTACAACAGATTCATGAGTGGCTGGGAATGGAAATGAAAGCCATCCCTGTTGTGTCTATCAGACAGTATTTTCTTACACTCCAGCCTCTAGAATAAACAGATGCTGGAAATAACAGGTACTGATTGCCTTGGAGTGGTATGTCCAAAATATGAATCTGAACTCTGTTGCTACAGAGATCCACATAGGCCCTGGACTATGCTATCCCTGTATCTAATCACAGTGCCATGAAGCTGTGTAGAAGTTGTGCAGGTAAACATCCATGCATTCTTAAACTTGGGGGTTGTAAACTTCAGGACTTGGGAACTTTACTACATAGTGAACTGTACCCACTGAGTAGGATAGCTGGGTTCTGGACAGATTGGAATTTGATGATGTTTCTGCCTTTGTGTGATGGCACAGTGTGATATAAGCTGTGTTGCCAGTGTTCCAGAGACACTTGTAGCTTCTATCTGCAAGGTACAAGAATAAGCTGGTTGGGAAGAAATGGTCCTTGATATAGGGAAGAGTTAACAGTTACTGGGGCTGTGAGGAAGTCAGTTGGAAGAGGTGGCCCTGAAAGATAAAGGGGAGACTGTTTTGTTAGGGCCACTGCTTATCAGCACTGTGACAGTAGTACAGCTGCCCCACTACACCAGCAATCATTCGCAAAGCCATTGAGATCATCCTACCCACCTTCAGTTGAGAAGAGGGCTGCCAGATAATTCGGGCCTGGAAGAACATCCACATATGCTTAAGGAGCAGAGAGGACACAACCTTCATACATAATCCATAGTTTCCCTGCTAGAACTAGAAACAGCTGCACCAACTCCCTAGTTTGAGCCCACCCTGTCAGGCACAACCTCCTCTTATAATGTCTAGAATTTCTTCTTACACTTTTATTTATGTAGCACGTCCACAAAGTAAGTTTCCCACTTGTCCCACAGGTAGCAAACCCTATATTGCATGAAGTGACTGCATGTACGTTATAGAGCAGTGATGTAGCATGGCGCATGCAGAAACGGAATTTCCCGCATTCCCATAATAGCATCATTGCAGCTGTTGAAGATGGAGGCTCTTATTCCAGCTCCCGCCAACTGTGAAGTGCGGTCAGTGATAAAGTTTTTGAATGCACAGAGCACATCGCCGATCGCAATTCATCGTCAGCTGTGCCGGGTCTATGGGCTTAATGTCATGAAAAAGTAGATGGTGCTTCGCTGGTGTAGACAGTTTCCAGCAGGTCGACAAAGTGTGCATGATGAGAAGCACAGTGGGCGGCCATCCATCATTAGACGACCTGGTGGAGCTTGTGCGGGAACGCATTATGGAGAATCGTCGCGTCACAATTACGGAACTCAGCAGTCATGTGCCGCAGATTTCCCACTCCTTGTTGCACGAAATTGTCACAGAGCACCTGTTGTTCAGGAAATTGTGCGCCAGGTGGGTGCCGAAGCAACTGACACCAGAACACAAAACAAAGCACATGGAGTCAGCATTGACATTTCTGCAGCGGTACCATGATGACGGCGACGAGTTTCTGGAATGGATCCTCACAGGTGATGAAACGTGGATTGCACACATTACCCCAGAAACCAAGCAGCAGTCAATGCAGTGGTGTCACAGTTGATTTCCCTGTAAGACGAAATTCAAGCAGACGTCGGCGTGGAAAGTGATGTGCACGGTGTTCTGGGCCAGACGGGGCGATCTCCACGTCGACTTCCTGACCAGAGATGAGATGGTGAATGCTGAGCGTTACTGTTAAACACTGCAGAAATTGCGACGGACCATTCAGAACAAGCGGCGCAGGATGCTTAGTGCCGCTATTGTCTTCCTGCACGATAACGCTAGGCCGCACACGGCTCAACGGACAGCAAGTCTCCTGCAGGAGTTTAGCTGGGAGGTGTTTAATCATCCACCCTACAGCCCAGACCTCGCTTCCAGTGATTTCCATCTTTTCATACACCTCAAGAAATTGTTGTCCAGTGAGCGTCAGCGTTTTGAGAATGACAGAGGTGGAGATGGTTGTCACACAGTGGTTCAAATCCCAGGCGGCAGACTTCTATGACACAGGTATTCAAAAGTTGGTCCCACAGTATGACAAATGTCTCAATTCCAGTGGCGATTATGTTGAAAAAAAGCTGAACACTTGCTGTATCTGTTGCAATAAATATTTCCATGAAATTGTGTTTTGTTTCTGTAAACGGCCCCAGGGAAACTTACTTTGTGGACTAGCCTCGTATTTGCTTATTTTCTTCATTACTCACTTTGCTTGTCTGCTTCTTCATTCCCACTCTTCCCATCCCTTCTGACTGTTGTTTTCAGTTTCCTCCCTCTTTTATTTTTTCTTTTTATGTTATATTTTAATTTATTCTGTATTATTTTAATCTCTGATATGCTCACATTCCTTCTGCCCTCAGGGCTCCTGTTCCCGTTTTCATGCTCCATAACCCAGTATGCCCACTCCCATATTGCAGACTGTTCTTTTTACCGCACAAACTTACTCTCTGTCCTATAGATGGAAGCAGCGAGTTCCTCCAAAATTATGGTAACACAGTGCACATCTACCCAGCACCATCACCCAAAAGCAGGATTAGCATTCAACTGCCATGAAAGTCTTAAATCATCAAAAGAGAACTATCTTCCCGAGATGGCAAGGAAAACCCAGTTTTCCACTCCATTACATAGTTCTCCTTGCAAAATCATTGTATTAGATGTATGATCTTCCTGCTTAGGTTTCTCCAGCAGTGAAAACCTTGGGGAACTAGTGGTCATTGATTGGTACTTGTGTGTCATTGAATGCAATCTGTAGATCCTGCACACAATTTCCCATAGTGTGTTGTTACATCATTCTGTTCAAAATATGCATAACTTGCAGAGATGGAAACTTGGTGTTCATATAAGTGTTAGAGTCTCTCTGTTGCTTATTCTGTTCAGTGCACTAATTTGTCTACAAGGTGACTTCCTGTGTTTTGTTCCAGAACCCAAGAATCCTACTACTGGATGAGGCAACGAGGTGAGTTCTATCAAAGAGTTATAGTAGTATGAGAATTACCTGCTGGGCAGACAGTATAGTATGCTTTGTCTTTGGCAGTGCACTTGATGCAGAAAGTGAGCATCTGGTGCAAGAGGCTCTGGAGCGCATCATGCGAGGACGTACTGTACTTACCATTGCCCACCGGCTGTCAACCATTCGCAATGCAGGTCAGAGATCTATGATACAGTTAAGGGTTTCAAATCCCTTTTATCTCGTTGTGGACTGGTATGCCCTTTTAAACACCCTGATACCCGGATACTGTATGTGCGATTTATACCCTATGACTTGATGCAGTGTTACCAATATCTAGAAGTTCTAGATGATGTTTGGAGCTGAGCTGTCTGAAAATTGCATGTAGAGAGTTGAGTAGTGCTTCATACAGTGGAATCTAGCAAAACAAGGAACTTTATGCATCAAAACAATGCAAAATTTGCAAATTCTTTTTGCAGGTGCTCACCACTGCTCTCTATCCTGAGCCAGATGAATCCATTCCATCCTCCCCTCATATTTCTCTAAGAGACATTGTAGTATTATTCTTCCAGCTATGTCTGGGTGTTCCTGGTAGTGCTTTTTCTTCAAGTTTTCCTGTCAAAACCCAGAATACACTCCTTTCTCACATGTGCTACATGTCCTGCCCATCTCATTCCGAATTTATCTGGCAATGGGTACAGGTTATGAAGCACCTCATTATGCAGTTTTCCATCCTCCTCCTGGCATTACAGCCCTTGGTGGGCCTTAGCCTTCTTCAAGAGGATCTTCCATTTGTATCGTCTAGCAGCATTACCTTACATCTCCTACATCCTACTCTTGCAATTTCCTCTTCAATTTGCTCCCATCTTAATTTGGATCTTCCCCTGGGTCGTCTGCCTCATAGTTCCAGCATCAGCTCTTTCTCTGTATGGTCATTTTCAGTCATATGCATCACATGGCCAGCCCATTGCAGCCTGCATGATTTCACGAATTATCATCATGATCATGATATAACTGATAAAGTTCAGAATTGGTTCTTCTTCACCACACTCCTTGAAAATGCGAAGGTCCATAAATTTTATGCAATATTTTTTTTTTTCCTTTTGAAGCACCCTAATTGCGTTTCATCCTGTTTAAGAAGGACCCAAGCCTCAGCTCCATATGTCAGTACTGGCCTTATCAAGGTTGTATGTATTGAAAAGGTATAAATCGCCAGGTAGTGATCAAATTCTGGCAAAACTTATTCAAGCAGGAGGCAAAATATTATGTTCTAAGATCCATAAGCTAATTACTTCTGTTTGACATAAGGAAAAATTGCCTCGTCAGTGGAAGGAGTCTATTATTGTGCCAGTTCACAAGAAGGGTGATAAGACTGACTGTAGTAATTATTGCTATCAACTTCATACAAAATTTTATCCAATATTCTTCTCTAAATGTTAAGTCCATACATAGATGAAATTATTGGGGATCATCAGTGTGGGTTCTGATGTAAAAGATCAACTACAGATCAGATATTTTGCATTCTTCAGATATTGGAGAAAGAATGGGAGTACAATGAGACAGTATATCAGCTATTTGTAGACTTCAAGAAAGCCTATGATTTAGTTAGGAGGGAAGTATTGTACAATATTCTGCTAGAGTATGGGATACCCACGAAACTAGTTAGGGTGATTAAAATGTGTTTAAATGAAACGTATAGTAAAGTAGGTAAACATTGGTCTGATAAATTTCCTATTCATAATGGTCTAAGACAATGGGATGCTTTATTACAACTCCTTTTCAACTTTGCTGTAGAATATGTCATTAGGAAGGTCCAGGAAAACCAGGTAGGACTGAAATTAAACAGGACACATCAGCTGTTGGTCTATGCCGATGATGTGAATCTACAGGATATTACTATAGATACCATAAAGAAAAACACACAAACTTTAATTGCTGCAAGTAAGGAGTTTTTTTTAATTGCTAGTTGGATGGGCCTAAGTACCTTGTACTGCGGCGACTTCTGGCCTATTGTACCAGCCCCAGATGATAGGTGAGGCTGATTTGGAGCAATTGGTGGAATGAAGAATGACAGGGGAAACCAAAGTACTTGGAGAAAACCTGCCCCATCACCACTTTGTCCACCATAAATCCCACTTGACCAGACCCGGGATTAGTAATTAAGTAGTAATGTAGGAATTTCTAGGTGCTCTTCATTATCGAGGTTTAATTATTGAATGTCCTTGTTCTCTTCATTTATCCCTTCTGTATTTATGTTTTGATTCAAAAGCTCATCAGAATATCTGTTCCATCACAGTAATATATCTTGTGGATCAGATATAATTGTTTCATCGTTATCTTTACATAATGTCACACTTGGCTTAAATTCTTTCTTGGGCTGCTTTATCTTTTGATAAAATTTTCATGTTTCTCTAGATGAATGCAGGTCCACCAACTCTTCCAGTTGTTTCCCATTCCTGTTATTTCAGGACTGCATTATGAACTCTGTGTTTCTGTTGCATCTGTCGATGAGCCTCATTTTTTCCAACTGTTTTTTGCACACTCAGAATCATACCACAGATTTCTGCTTGTTGGGATTTCCTTCCAAATTATTTCATCTGCTGCCCTCTGAATTATATCTTTGCAGGCTTCCCATTCCTCATCCACGGAGTGTCGACTCAGCCTCTAATAGAAATTACTGCAATGAATATTCTTGGGGGTAAAGGGTGGCCAGCACATAAAGCTAACAACCTTACCACCATCTATAGGCTGATTGTCTAGAAAATGTGTGAGCCTGAACATCTCACTACCTTATGGGCCTTCATATTTTCATACAGGGATATCTTTACTTACTTTACTTACTTTACATCCACTGTGGTTCCTTGTTCGTAAGAATGTTGAGACAAATACTCTTCAATCCTAGAAGAATATAATTTCTTCATTTCCTCATCATTACTGAGTTGGGATGTACGGTACCTTTTCCTTTTGATTGTTTTCAACTTCTGCAAATTTGAAATGTGTGCTCTAATTTTGGCTCCTGTGAGGTAGTGATCCAATTCTGCATTAGCACCTTTGAAAGTTCTAACATCCATCAAATCAGAGCAATGTCTAGTATCTACTAATACATGACCAATGTGGTTTTCACCTGAAAAATCAGATCACCATGTGGATTTCTGAATTGTTTTATGTGGCAACATTGTACTGCTTATGGACATATGTGATACTGCAGCTGTATCAAGCTTGATCCATTATCATTTGTGTTTGTATGAAAACTGTGACTCCCAATTGTGGGTTCATGCTCATGTCCTGCCCAATATGCGCATTCATATCTCCTGAAAGTATCTACACATCATTTTTAGGGCATCTATCTTATACACCCTCTTATGCATCATAAAATTCTTCTTATTGTTCATCAGCTGCCTTGATTGGGGCATGTGTGCTTATCAATGTGTAACTGAAGAATTTTCCTTTATTCTAAGGGTGCATATTCTAGGATTAATGGGTTTGAAATCAATTACCAAATGTTTACATAAGTTATGGACACTGAAACTGGTTCCAGGATGATGTACCTTCTCATCACAGCTACAGAAAATTGTGTAACCTCTCTTCTCTAATAAGACATTTCTCTTCCAGCGAATCTCTTGTATAGCTGTAATTGCAATTTTGTATTCCTCAAGGGCTCCAGCTCTCTACAGTGAAAGTACATTCCAAGCACCTATGCAGGTCATTTCAGAAATAATGCAACACAATTTCTTGTTTATGTCCATGTCTATTTTTTTAATATCTCTTTACAGTCCTTCAGTATAGTGCCCCTGCTGCTTTATGACCGAGTCACAGCTTTACTATTCCATCCGGGACACCATCTTTGTTTATCTGTCGAATGGCTTGGGTAACTGCAGCAGAAAGCTCTTCCAGAGATGGAAAACGATGGCCTCGCATAGGTTGTTTCAACTTTGGGAATAAGTCGAAGACAGCCCGGATTCATGTCCGGGCTGTAGGGAGCTTGAGGCAACACCTCCCAACCGTATTGGCACAGCTTTTCTGTTACGACATTCTCGATGTGCAGGCGAGCGTTGTCATGGAGAATGATCGGCCCAGCCTCGAGCAACTGAGGTCGGTTTTTGTGCATTTTTCTGCGCAGATTTTGCATAAAGTCACAAAAAAACTGCTGTGACACTTTTCCCACACGGAACTCTGTCTGTCATGATGATTCCTTGGTGATCATAAGCAAAGATCATCATTTGCTTGACCTTTGATTGAGATCATCGAAATTTTTTTTGGTCGTTGGGAAGATGGACCTCTCCACTCATTGGACTGTGATTTCAGCTCCAGTTCAAAGTCTCTAACCCACGTTTCATCAATAGCGACAAGTCCATACAAGAATGCTTGACCTTCAATGTTGATCTTTGTTTCAGCAAGGTTGCAGTGTTGAGGCATTTCTGCTTCTGTTCTGCAGTCAAGCAGTGAGGGACCCATCACACAGAAATCTTTCTCTTTAAATAATTTGTCAGAATTCGAAATATTGATGTTGGTGGAATCCCCATGGTTTCAGAAAGTTCCTCACATGTCGCACGATGATCTTCAAGAGTATCTGACACAAGTTTCACACTTCGTTCATCGGTTGATGTTTTTGACCTTCCTGGCCTTGGATCATTGTTTATGCTCACACAACTGCCACGAAGACGACTAGCCCAGCGAGAAACTGTACTACGGTCCACTGTTAACTCTCCACAAACTGTACTTAAAACACTGGATTTCTGTCGGGTTTTTTCTACGTAAAGTTTCAGTCTTAATGTACAACCTTTGATCTTCAACGTCACAATACCCGAGAACCGTGCAGACTCCATTTCTAACTCACATCACTTAAGAACAGAGTACATTATAAGTGAAACAAAATAACGCACTTCTTTCTCAAGCCCTGAACTGTAACTGACGTGAGGCTCACCATTGTTGCATCATCTAATCTGCAGAGTTGCCAACCTGTGCATTATTTATGAAATGACCCACGTATATACAATTGACTCTTCTGCTGTTTTATTTTTACCCATTTCTCACCTAGTTGCCTGTTGATCTATCCAATTTCCTCTCTTTTAGTTCTCATAACTGGATTTTTTATGAGGTTAGGTCATTAGCCCTATGCTCAACCCCAACCTGGAAGTCCAGGTGATATTCTGTTGGGGTTTCCTTCCCCTAGCCCATGTAGATCCCTCTACCAACTGACAGGCCACAGTTCTGGTTTTGGTCCACCTCGGGTATTTTATTTCCCTGGTGCCACCAATATTTGGTGAGCTTTACCCCATCCACCACCTGGGGGAGGTGCCCGCTGGGAGACCAGAAACTCCACACAGGTGCAGTTTTTCCAGACTCTTTATTATTTCATCGCTCTTGGGTCCATATATTCTTTTCAGCGCCTTATTCTCAAACACTTTTGGTCTGTGTTGTTCTCTTAATGTGAGACCCCCACTTACATACATACCCATACAAAACTGCAGGAAAAATGTGTAGTCTTGTATGTTTTAGACAGTAGGCAAGTAGAGAGAAGGTTCTGAACTGAATGGTAGCAAGCATTACCCAAATTTGACCTTGTAATTTCCTAATCAATAAAATTCTTCTTTGTTAGTGTCATTCCCAAATATTTCTTTTCTTGACTGGCTGCAGCTGATTTCTCCAGTTTATGTTTGTTGAAAGCTTCTGATAATCTCTCTAGAGGGTCCTGTCTGTATGTCTGGTGTATAGGCTCCTTTGCTGGAGGTTGAGCATTGTTTGTGTTGGTTTCTAGACACCATTCAAGCCTTTGAAGTCTGTTATCACAGTGAGCTGCTTGGAGTTTTGAACTGTAAATTGCAAATTGTGAGATTTATAATGATGTTAATGTTAAAGGATGTTCCATACAATGTCCATTTAGCCTGGGAGAAAGTTGTGCCAACTATGATTTCAAATTTCTGGGAAAAGTGTGTTGGAAAAGATGTCATAGAAGATGAGGTAAAGTTAATTCCATTGCCAAAACAAGACATGAAGGCTGCATGTGATGCATTTGGTAGCAATTTGGAAGCAGATGCAAAAATGCTGGTCATGCAGTATTTTAGCAAAAAAGATGTCTAAGCTTCTGTGCAAAATGGGAAAACAACCAATGAACTTAGAACCAGTGACACAGGAAGTCACCCAAGAAACAATACTGATGATATGTGTGAAGCCTTTGAAGTAATGGTACCAAAATTGAGTAGAGTGCTAGGAAATATTAATGAAGTGGTGACAAGGTTAGAACAACAGATTGGTAGTGAACTCCTTCATTTGCTGCATGAGGCCAGTATTAAGCATTATGCTCTGAGAAAATGCAGTTATCAGTTCTGATAAAATACATTACATAAATGCATACATGTGAAAATTTTGCAGTGATCTGTGCAAGTAGTATTGGTGAAATGTGAGCCTTAATTGTACCTTAAACTTCAGATACACATTTTAGTCACTGTAAATACTGCATACATAGTACTAGGGCTTCCCAAATTAGGTTAATGTCAGTTTCACTTATAACATGGGTACTAAGCCTGTCTCCCAGCAACCTTTTTATATCAAGAGTCTGCTCTGTGTGTATAACAAGATTTATTCATTCTAGTCGATTCATTACACTGAAACATACATTCAATTCCAAATGTTAAAATAGGCATTTTAAATTCATATTACACTCTGAAAATGTTGAATGATAGTATGATTTAATCTGTCATATCCACAGAGTGGCCAGCAGTTTCCTCCAGATTTAAGTCTGTTAGGCTACCATGTTTAGAACAAAGTTGAGACAGTGTACAAAAACCAGAGAAAACCTTTTCAGTTTCTGGGGTTACTACAACAAAGAACTAAAAATATGTGGTCTTTAATATCATAAGATAACATCCAGTCAGTCATTAATCAGTGGAAAAGATGGGTTCAGGGAGTGATGCACAAAAGTTGGAGTTGTACTCAGTACTGATTCCAGTATGAAAAAGTGACTGTTATAAATGAATTTCCTATTTTTAGCATTCAAAATGGAAAATATTTTTGTGTATAACAAACCATCTGAATTGAATATGTCCTTCTGTACACATTCATAGGTATTTTGTGTACAATGATTATGAATTTCATTCAGATCTACAAACCTGTTCGTTGTTGTCATTTTTAGAAAAAGTAATTTTCTAACACTACCTGATATACATATGTATATTAAGTTTTGTTGAATCAGTTTGAATGTTCTGTATTGAAAAGGGTTGAAATATACGAGGGATGTCCGGAAAGTAAAAATGCAAGGGACATATTTCAGATATGGCAGTGCTGCATTGTGAGATAGGAACCATATGACAGGGCAGAGTTCACTGGCCACAGTCATGGCAACATTGTGCTTGCAGTGTGTGTTAAACATGGCCATGTCGATTCGAAATCCTGCCAAATGCGAGGTTCGTGTAGTAATTCGATTTCTTCTTGTGACAGGAGAGCTTCTGAAATTCATCACTAACTTGTTTCTGTTTATGGTAAATATATTATGAAGAGGCAAAATGTGGCAAAATGGTGTCGTGAATTTGGAGCAGGAAGAAGTGATATTCATGATGAAATCATCCGAAAATTTCATGGAAACATTCGTGCTGACGGATGTTTAACCATAGATGAATTTCATCAAGAAAGTCCAGAAGTCTCAAGAACTGTTCTCCACTGCCAAGAGAGCAGGCAGGAGATTTCTGCAGTGCTGGAATAAAAGCTCATTCCTAGGCTCACTAAGTGCATGGCAATTCAGAGTGACTATGCTGAAAGTCAATAAAGATGTGTTTTAAAAGTGCTACAAGTGACACCCCTCCCAAGAAATGCTTTACAAATATTTTCTGGACTTTGTATCTTTACTTTCCGGATATCCTTCATATTTATTGAAGAATTGTCTCCAGTGACATGAAAAATTCAATTACTTATGAAAGCAATAAAATGTAGGATGTGCGTCTCCTTATGGCAGTGATATTTTCTATTTCATTTTTTGTACCACCACATGTCCTTATCAATCTCTTGGCAGTTGTGGTTGAGGCTTTTCATTTTCTTCACCACTGTTGCTGCTGATAGTCTCTGGTACTTTGTGTCTTCATATTAATGAAGATCAGATCATTCACTGTTTCAGATATCAGTATTCTTAATTGTGTCCAAATTTTACTTGTACTTTGTTGCACAGTGATCACTTGGAGTTGGAGATCTTTACAAATGAGAACTGATACTAGAAAATGTGGGTTTCTAAACAGTGTAAGTGTATATGATAATGCCATTCAGTTATTTCTGTGTCAGGATTTTACTAACTAGTAAGATCTTTGGTTGTCTTTGCAAGACAGGATGAAGAGTATTGGTACCATTAATAAGCTTAAGATGTTAGTAAACATTAACCTTTAGCACCGTGAGAGAGAGTATTGAGAAACTTAACTTTGATGATTTCAGACCAGATCACTGTACTGGAACAAGGTCATCTGGTAGAGAAGGGAACATACAGTGACCTGCTGTCCAAGGAAAATGGCACATTCAGGAAGCTAGTACAGCACCAAACATTCACTGTCAGCGACAGCTGAAGTGTAGTGTCCATATTGTAAGCACTGCCAACATCAAGCAGATAGCTGTGCATGAAACAGACTTTGTCTTCACTTCAGTAAAATGGTTGGACACTCCGAAATCCTGGAGTCATTTCAAGAAAATTTGGGATTTATGATGGCTCTGGGACAGATGTGTCTCCAATTACCAAATTAATTTGAGTAATTTACTCACCTTTGTACACAAAAAATCGTATCTGAAACTTTCGCATAAAATGTACAAATACATTATCGAGTATAATTTTACATTGTACTGAGGTCAGAAGACTGATGGCTGTGTAATAGTGAGAAATGCCAGAAATTCCATTCTTTTTTGTGTAATTTATAACCAATTTGAAGGTGGCTGTATACGTTATATTACCTTGCATTTGATGCACTTTCAAATTGCTGATTATTGGTAATTTAATATAAGTTGATATGTGAGTGATACATCTTCATTGTAATGAATACAATGGTGCATCCAACATGATGAGTTCACATGCAACAGATTAATTTTAAATAATAAATAAATAAATGACAGGTTACCTTCATTTGTGTGCTTTCAGTTTCCTAACTGGAAAAAAAGGCCATGTGTGTTTATTGAGCATGAATTAGTTTGTATTCACTGAATGTTGAAAAACAAAATTATGAAAGACTGATGGTGTTGCCCCACAGTAGCAGGTAGCAGTGACTTAAATCTGACTTCCAAGCATGACAGAAATGGCATTATTGAGACAGAGATACTGTGTGTATTTGAACATTGGCATGGTAAAGCAGTGCACCATCAGTCCTTCATTAACATTGCAATGTTATTGGAGGATTGAGGGCAGACTTAATTTTTTGAGCTACTGAAGGACAAATAAAGGCTTCTTGGTCATGTGAAAATTAAATAAGCATATACAGAGTGCCTTGAAATTCATGCCTACACATGCCTACTGCTACACAGTTCCTTGATGAACACTAAGATGGAAGTTTGCCTTGTTAAAATTTTGAGCAATGCATAATTTCTGTATAAATCATGATTAAAGTCCCTTTTGCCATGTTGCCACATTGCATTAAACTTTATAATCACACTTTTTGTGTAAATTATGCCTTTGTCAAAATTTTATCAAGGAACATTTTCATTTCAGTACTCACGAAAGAATCTTGTGGTAGAGTCCATAGGCATGAATTTATTATATAAACACTGTATACTGAAGTTCAGTTCTTGAGACATTTCTTAGAACTGATGGGAGACAGTGGGATCTGTTTAACCCCAAATTAGTACTTCAGCGTACATACCACCAAAAACAGTGTATTGATTGTGTTCTTCTGTACTGAGTGCTCTAACCCTCTGTACCCAGCTATCTGCCACAGAAATCAGTGGCCCATGCCAATATTTCACAGCGTTATCAAGTACAGCTTTGAATTACTTCAGAAGCTTTGACATGTGTGTTGGAACTGACAGCATGTTAATTGGGTTGCTGGCAATGCACATAATAAAAAATTACATGATCAATATTTATTTTCATATCAAGCTTATCTGGCAAAAAAAAATTGTGGCTTAAAGTTGGAGTTAAAAATACAGCATTTATCTTCCCTCCCCATTTAAATATCTAAAGTGGAAGTGCATAAATTGTACAAGTAAATGTGGTACTTCAAGTTATATTTTGCCAGTCATCATTCCACCATTTGCTGCATACTGTTATAACCCATGGGGTGTGCAGTAAGCTTGAGAAGCCAGCATGTTGTCACAGTTTTATCATCAAATATAAATACAAATGTAATACAAATGGCCCTGACATTCAGAGTTCTTTGGGTCTGAAGTTTTCATCAGTTTTGTCATGTCAAAAATTACTTTGAATCAGATATTGTCAGCTTTGCTAGTGACAGAGATGGGAGATGGAAATGTTGGTACATAATAATACAGATTTTAACTTTATGTCATGTTTTATTCTTGATTCAACTTCCTGCATGTTAATTGGCTTCATCATCACAAAGTTCCAAAAGTGGCAAGTGAAAACTAACTCCATGTATGCACAAAAATGTTCATTTAGGACAAGTATCATGACCAAATTTTCATCCTGGACATATTCTTGCAATTAATAAAAGAAGCAGACTTCACTTACTACTTCCACAAGCAGTCAAGTCACATTCAGCCCATAGGTTCTTATAAACAAAGGAAAGAGTTGTAATCTTTGCTAACAGGGATGAAGTTGTACAATATCAGGTATATTTGTAACTTTGTGATTGAGCAACCACATTATAACACATGAGTTTCACAGCTTAAGTTTTAGCTTAATATAGTTCCTTGCTTTTAGAGTCCAAGATAGTTCAGAAAGAAATCTTATTAAATTTGTACAAGTGTATCATACTGTCAGAAAGAACACTTGTACTTTTCTTGTTTTAAAATATGTGAACAAAAATTGGAATGCAAAGCTTATGTGTGACAAAGTTAGTGGCACTACCCATTCCAAGCTTTCTGTTTAACTTTCACAACTTTCACTTGCTTTTCCATACCGTTGCATAACCACATTTTATTAGTGGATATTAATCAAGAAGGTACTGTGCACATGAAGAGTATAGTCTTCTAGGATGGGGCACCATGTAATTTGGTGTAGATGGGTTCCAACATGTTGGAGGAACCTGATACCTCTATCTTCAGGGTCAACCCTGATGATGGAGGCAGCATGTTCTTTCAAAACGTTGGTACCTGTCTACCACACTACATAATATCACATCCCAGAAAGCTGTTGTGAGAACATAAGTGTCTCTCATGCTGTGCACATAGTCTGCTAAACAGTACTAAAGGCATGCATTTACAAGCTTTCATGCTTTGTGAAAACAGCATAATTAATAAAAGTCATATAAAAGACTGGAGTAAGAAGAAAGAAATGATACTGCAGAGGAATGGTAACTTGGGGGGCTATTTCAAGGGTGGAAAACAAACTATCCTGAAGTAAAGAAAAGCTTCATGAAAGCAAGTGAGAAGCATCATTTTAGATGTGTGGAATGCAGTTGTATCAGAAACAAATGATCATCAAATTTTAATTTCAAGACAGTGTACTTACATTCAACATGCATGCTTTAATACATCAGTAAATTCACATAAGCTTTTTTTTTTTTCTTAAAAAAAAAAGCTGGGTGCACAGCCTATTCAACAGCATAGTATTCAGGATAATACAATAGCATTCATACAAACTAATACTGGTAGTTGTCATGTACTTTTACCGGTTTATATATATTTGCAGGGCCTGTTGGGTTATGCCATGAAAAAAAAAATCTTTCTTTCTTGAAAGACACTCCAACTGATGCTTTCAGTGATTTCCTATATTAATAATGCATACCTGACTTGTGTAAGTCCAGTAAGATGCCTGCTGCAGTATCCAAGTTAGTCTTAACCAGTATGTTTGGTTTTATTGAGTGTGGATTATATGTTACTTTTAGTATATTTGTTGTTAATTAGTAAAAATAAAGTAGCCAATGACATGTTATCTTATTTTGTGAGCAATGTTTATATTACATAAATATAATTAATGGCAGAAAAGTAGTACTACAGTTTTAAGTCAGGTTGTGCGTTTCCACAGCAAATGGTTTTCTTCCAGCTTTGTAAGACCATTAGACAGTTACAGTGGCAAAATTGCAAGTGTGCACATAATGGAAAGGGATGTCATGTTCTTTGCCAGTTGGTATAATTAAGTAACAGATAATGTGTATTAGAGCAGGATTCATTATCTCCTGATGTCTGAAGCATCTCCTCTTGTAGTGAGTGATGCAAGTGCATGCAGATAGACTTGAAAGGATTCTGACGCTGGTGTATAGTCTACTTCTTTTGGCTTATTTTGGACTTCACTCATCGTCTGGTATGTAAAAGACAAAAGACCACGACGTTTCGGAGACTGGATCTGTCTCCGAAACGTCGTGGTATTTTGTCTTTTACATACCAGATGATGGGTGAAGTCCAAAAGAAATAAAGTGCATGCAGTATTGCCCAGAAATGTCTGACTGACTGCTGGAGTGGGAACATAAAAATATCACATGCATTTTGACAAATCACTAGTACTCAATGTTTTTAGGCAAGAGGACGGTGAGTTCCTTAATGTGCAGGAGCAAACCCTGTGTTTCTGTCTCTAGCAGTTGGGAGTTTTACAGCTGTTTTAGTTCTCCCATACTAGAGCATTTATGTTGCTCCAAGACAATTGATTTGTTATTTATCTGATTACTTAATACATATCCATAATATGGACTTAAATGAAGGTGAAAGGATGATAGAGAAGATGAGGAATTGAGAGCAGCGGAGACTGGTTGTAGAGGAGGCCAAGGCTCACCCAGGGCTATAGCGCTGAGTGGTAGGTGGTACCAGCACAGTGCAGTGGAGACTGGTTGTAGAGGAGGCCAAGGCTCACCCAGGGCTATAGCGCTGAGTGGTAGGTACGTAATACGGAGTTAAAACAATCTCATAATCATAAAATATGTTTTCAGAAAGGCTGTGATATGAGTTGCATGTTTCTAGTCTAATTTAAAAGTTTTCAGTTTTTCATTTGTAACTACTGTATATTTTAATGTTACTGTCTCTTTGGGGTGTGAAATTATGTTGCCTTGTAGATGCAGTTTACTGACTTTTGGAAGAATGGACTGCCCCAATTTTCAGGTTCAAGGAGTAAGCCAAGCAAACAGCAAGCAGCGTTCTGGGATGTGACTCCAATATTTCTACCAAACACCAATAAACTTCTGTTAGAATACGTGGCATCACATTCATAGTCGACACTGTGAGAACCTCACATCTAACATCCTGCATTTCTCATGTAACAAATTCTAAGAACATTTTGAGGAAATCATCTCACAGAATTGTGACTACTTCCAGCACTAGAAGTGTTTCCAGTTGGTTAAAGTTAAAGTTAAAGTAGGTGCTTAACTGAGCACCTCTCCACGAAGATGTATAGAGGAATGGAGGTACAACTCCAAGCATTCTGACCTTCAGCACTGCAGGGAGGTGAGTGGTCTGCTTCACATAAATTAGACAGCAGACCAAAGCTGATTTGGATAAGGTGGTGAATGTCTGTGCCAGGTGAGAACCCAACCTGTCATCCAACAAGTAACCTATTCACTATACTGGTCAAGCTGCCCCAGCTCTTGTCAATTGATTAGTCTAATGATTCATTGTGTCTCCATATTTGTAAATGGCAAATGAGTTGTCCCTTATGAAAACATCAGTACTTAAAAGTGAATTTCTTCTTCTTTTTTTAGAAGCATACAATGAGTCCATTCATACACGTACTTGGTTACATTTGAAGAAGAGGATCTGTATTTCAGTAAGTCGAGTGGTGCTGGTGGTGGTGTCATCTGTAATGAGGCTTGTAAAATTATATTAGCATGTATAATTTCTTTAAAAATATATATATTTGAAGAACAGTGAAGCAAACTGAATTTTTCTGTGTGCCAAGACCTAAAAGCTGAAGCTTTCATGGGCTGCAGTTAAACAACATCCACAATGGAAGATGTGGAGAAATTGGTATGTAAAGATAATGACAGGTGACAGACAGTGTGTGGGTATCCTATGTAGCTTATGCAGGAAATCTACAAGAACGGGACTACTCAAAAGATGTCAGATGTGATCAAATATCTGAGCCAGTTGCTACTGACTTATACGGCAGTGACGCAGATCAAACAGAGACTGCTAATAGCAAAGCACTCAGGTATTTATATTGTGTTAATAGATTTGTAATATTTCATTGCTTTAATCAGCTGTATAATATTGTCTTCATCATGATTAAATGCATGTGTTGTTTCTGTATAGAGTAGGTCTAGCGATTTCATAATGTGTATTTCTCTATTTCTTTCTGTCTGGGATATCACCGACCCAACTTCATCAAGTTGCCCCTGATTAGCACATGACTAAGTGGCGTTGTGACCTTGACCAGGGTATCCATTTGATTTGTGAACTACTTACCCAGCATGGTGGTTACCAACTGAACAATTTTTAAAATAGTTTACAGTAATACAGAAGTATCTTAAACTGTAATGCGACTTTTGCGCCACTCTACGTTTCTGTTTCCTGCATTTCTATAAACCAGCAGTCATGCCTTCACTTGAATACCGTTTCCTCACAACTAACTGTCACTGTTTCATGATGCAAGGTTCAGTTTTAAATATAGCTGAGTCTTGCCTATCACTTTGTTTTGCTTCAAACTAGTTATATAAAAAGGTACAAGGCAGTCATCTAAATGTCCTGTTATCTTAACTTCAGTGGCATCCACAGCTCTTAACCACCATGTTCTTGTACTTCTTGAGGATCACATTTGACTCATCCAGAAAATAGAGCACAGATATTGGTGACAGCTTTGTTGGAGCACAGCAAGGCTTTGGCACCTGTGAAGGATTCATTAGGTGCACCAGTGTCTGAACGATTGCATGATTTGTAGCATTCATATGAGCATTTAGTGGAAAGTTACATTCACCACTGCAGTAAAAGGCATCATATCCATTTGGTGCTATTATCCAGTCCTGCAATGAACAAAAGTAGTTACAGATAATCAAACACAAGAATACAACTGTCTGTCATGAAATATGCGCTACTTACATGCCATTCTAAATCCCTGAAGCTCACATACAGTGTCTGTATCTGGCAGCTTCTGGAAGACCAGTGAATTGATGAATCTGAAACACATCAACAGCGTGATGTCTAGTGCAGTGCCAGCCTGTGTTTCTTACAGACTGAATGTCACATTTGTCTTACCTGTGAATGTACGTGGGGAGTAACTGCTCTCTGCTGCTGATGTGTCAGCCTTCTTCTTTGTGCGCCGCTGGGTCTCTCGTGTTTTGCGGGAGTGTGCCATGTGATGTCCAGATGACTGGAAGAACGCCACCATGAATGGCTGCCTTTTGGCATCCATCTTTGAGCTCACAATCCCAATGTCTTCTGGGTTGATCTCATGAGCTGTACAACAGAGCAACACAGAAGACAACTGTTAAAAGAATTTTAAAGCTGTGGAGAAATATGGGGATGAGAATTGGATTGAACTAAAATGTAATATCCAATGGTGGACATAGAAAGATAGGAACATTGCATAATGAGGAGCTTCATAGTTTTTAGTGTTCACCAAATATTATTATCATGGCGAAATTAAGGAGGATAAGGTGGGTGAAACATGTGTGAAACATGGGGGAGAAATGCATACAGGGTTTAGCCAGAACCTTGGATATACAAGCATTGAGCAAAGGTTAATATTAAAATGGATGTGACAGTGGGGGGCCATATGGGAACCTTGTGAGTACCATAAAAGAGGAGAATTTGTCACCAGGTGAGCAACTACCAGCTTCTGAAGAAATATGCTCAGTGCAATTGATTACTTATTTAACTAAACATGAATCATGTATGATGTAATTCAGAAAACAATATACATGGTTAAGTTTCAACATATGACACATAGTTGAAGTTGGCTACATGCAGTGATATGCATTCATGAAGTGTAAATTAGTACTGGACTTCTACTATTGGAAAATCATTGATATTCAGCAGGGAATAACTCTCTCCATTTCTCCATCCTTTCCCATATCCCTTTCATATCCTTATCATGATCCCCCCTTCTCTATTAAAATACTGAATTAAGTTCCATATTTATCATCCAGATGGCACAGTTTCAGACATACAGACATGACCCATATAAGTATGTGAAAACTTTGGTGTGAAAATATAAACCATACAGCAGTGGTTTCTGAAGTGTGGGACACTTTGCAAGCATGGGAGACTCTGGGAAAGTTATATAGTAAAACCGAATTGATTATAATTCTCAAAATGTTAATAATGGACATTTTTCACAGAGATATAAGGTACCTAAGGGGAAATAGCCACCTTAAGAAAATTTGAAATTTTTAACACTTAAATAAGAGGAAAAGTAAAAAAGAGGCAGTGTTGCTAATATCTAGACAGACTAATTAACTGTACAACAAAGAAAGGCCACTGAAGAAATCGTGATGGACATGCAGACATAAACAGTTTCTTAGAAGTGTACAACTTGCCATATCACCAGCACCTGTATGGATAATATGGCCAAGGGATGCTGATAATGTTGTCAACCAATACTTTTAAATACTGTGAGGTCTGTGTTGTTTAATGTAGAGATCGATTACAATTCCATATACAAACGTGAAATACAGCAACATAACAAAACAAAACAAATTATGATGAAAATGATTACCACATTGAAGAGTTCTATCACCTGGGATACACCACCATGTAATCCATTAAAAATCAACCAGTGTTTCAAAGGAACATGTCGCCTCCATTTTTGTTGCCAACAAATCAAGCAAGAAACTAGCATGAAGCATGAAGCAGATGGCAAGTAGGGCTGTACACCACAACATTAAGGGCTGGGGCCTCCTCCTCTGTCACAAGACCAGGCGCAGATACTGTACTGTTTACCGGTCTGGTTGCTTTGTCCCATGATGGGTTAATATCATGACATCTTTGCTTGATGGTAATGAAATGAGTACTGTGGTTATATGTGTAAACAGGAGGCTCCTCTGTTAAAGTTAATCTACCGACCACACAACACGTTTTTTATTTACTGCCACACTGTTGTGTGGTCGGTAGATTAACTTTAACATTCGTCTAGTACACAACAGGATGCAAGGAACAATAAAAGGAGGCTCCTCTCATCACAGTAATGTCCAAATGGTCTGACGATGGATTTATCCACGGATTGCAACTTAAGGACAGTCTGACTGAGATGGCAGAAAAATGTAATGTTATGGTGTTCTGCTGCCTGTGTGATGTCGCTCCACCAAATGCAAACTCATAATGGCAAAAATGCTGAAGTCAGTTAGCAGGGATCAGTGCTGCAGGTGAATGTTTGTGTGTAAAAATATATATTGTGGCAGGCAGACCCATTGCTAGGCAACAACCACGAAATAAGCAGCTATGCAGTGGCCGTTACTAGGCAGCGGCCCCTAAACAACAGAGGAATGGTGTTTTCTGTGCAATCTGTGCTGATGGCTGCAGATGCAACTGTGCAATATGTCATACTGTTGTTAAGCAACAGTAGCACTGCAACAGAGGATTGGGATGTTTTCTATGATGTGTGTGCTGAGATGTTATAAGCACGACAAGTTAGGTGCAGGAGTAAGTACCTCAAAATTTACGTCCAATTAGCCTCTTGTCCACAACAGGCAACTTATTCGAGAAAATTATTCTGAAAATAGTCCAAAGGCATATTGAAGAAAAAGGTCTGCTTAATGCAAACCAGTCTGGTTTTTGTGCTCACCACAACATGACACTTCAATGTATGAGGCTTATGGACTATGTAGCATTAAATTTCAACAATAACATGTCTATGGCTGTCGTACTCTCGGACATTGGAAAAGCCTTTGATACAACATGGCACCTCGGTTTGCTATATAAATTATTAAAATTGAAATTTTATCAAGCTTATTCGCTCTTTTATTTCTCAGAGAAAATTCATAATCTTGGTTGAAGGTGAAATGTCTGTGTCAAGGAATATACAAGCAGGGGTGCCACAAGACTCCATCCCCCCACACTGTGCAATAGATATATAAATGATACGCCCCCAAACACCTGGTGTCTATTTAGGTCTCTTTGCTGATGATGCCTGTATATATGTGACAGATCACAAAGAAAGTTGCAGTGAGGTCTTGGTGCTCTTGAGATGTGGTGTGAAGAAAAGATTCAGACCATCTACTGTTCTCAAAGACCAGGCCCCCTGAGACTTCTCTTACATTGAATGGCCAGAATATCCCCTTGCCAATCATGTAAAACATCATGGTGTGATCTTTGATAAGAGGATTACATGGAGACTGCATATAGATATGATTGAAGCCAAGGCCTTCAGAACATTTATTAGAATTTACTCTATATTCAAAAGTGAGCATTTAAGTGCAAACATTAAACTAACTCTATGTAAGGCAAAGCCAGACATAGAAATATAAGAGGCTTAAACTTGGCAGTGGTCAAGCTTGCAACCATTCAAGCGACTAAGCTGCCATTATAGCACAAGATAGGCATGATCTACCTTGCAAAGCCTACACTGACAGAGGACTTGTATATAGTGAATAATTTTCAGTAACATGGTGTATGCGTGATATGTACACTTGACAAAGGCCAAGCCTATTCACAAGAGACAAACCCATCCTCTGACAAGATGTTGCATAAGGACTATGACCGCAAGGGCTGAAATGCAATAAAAGAAAAACTGGTCTTGAGACTCAAGGGGCATGGTGCCAAGATGAACTGATTGATGGTAAATTGCCAGTCATAAAGTAACTGACTCTGACTTAAGTGAGTCAGTTGCAAGTCATTAGTCAGCGCTAAGCAGTTAGTTGTGAGTGAGCAATTGTAGTTGGTGGTTGACTATGAGCATGGAAACAGAGGACTCTCCATTGTTAGAAGCTGCTATCAAGAAATGACTAGTGAAGGCATAACAGAGTGAGGAAACTTATTGTGTGCTACAGTGATTTGTGGTATGTGTAGTTTACTGAGTGTTATACTCATTTGTAGCTACAAGTTATAAGCAGTCAATAAATTTAGTATTGAATCCAAACGTCATGTATAGTCACTAACATGTGACAATATTTCATTGGGTAGCTAGCTAGTGTTAGTGTTTTTCACTGGCATTGGTGGCTGTATGATGTGAGGTTTTGTGGCACCTCCATGTTGCTCTCAGAAATGCCCACTGACTCTAGAAGGGTGTATGTTTGAAAGAATGCATACTTCTCTCTTAACTTTTCAATATATGGCCGTTTGATTGTCATGCACCATGGATAGAGTGCCGCCTGCCAATTTCAAATGTCTTGAACCGAAATTTGCAGTCATTATGGCCCTTAGTCTCCACCCTTCTGACTAGCTGCAGTACAGTACTATATGCTGTGGTCACATTGCCTAAAGCATCCTTACCCTGTTTCACACAGTACACTTTCATGTCACATGTGTGTACCCCCAGTGAATCACAGTTTGAATAACTTTATACCGAATCATTTCCTTTTCTTTGGAATAAGGTAAAATTTGCCCTGTGCATAATTAACTGAGCATACGCCATGGAGATATAGCCCCATTCTTGACCCCGGCACTAGATGGATATGAGTGCTCAACTTCACTCCCTGGTAGCCATTAAGTAGGAGGCTGGGTGGGCCCTAGAGCCAGTCTGGATGCTATGGAGAAGAAAATATGTGTATCTTCTATTGGGAATCGAACCCTGGCCATCCAGCCCATCGCTATACCGACTAAGCTATCCTGGTACTTTTTCATTGAATAGACCTGGGAAAACCACCCTGTCCTCGAATTTCACAATTACTTCAGCTATTGCAGTGTGCTTGGGTAGGAGTGTGTGCATTAGAGAATCTGGCATTCATATAACTTAAAACTTTCAGTACCTGTTATAAACTTTTATTCCTGTCAGGAGCATCTTCACTGCTTTAGAAATACAAAGCTGAGGATATGAAAACATATATTCCGTCTCGTGACACAATAATAAAAGGGGGCGTGGCACATTGAATCCCTATATCACTACTGTTTGGATGCATTCACGCTGGTCGTGCCTCATTTTCAGAACTAAGCAAGAAAGTAGAACATTTCTTCCTGAGGTACTGAGATGTCATCACTTTTTGCACCATAATACTGATGACAGTACATGTTGATATCAGCAAATCTGAAAGGATAAAAAAAGCAGTTCGGGGTGGGGGATTGCGTACAATATTTGAGACACGCACTCCAGGTTTCGGGCCTGTGAATGGCTGAGCAGCATACACATTTCTCATGCTTCTGGTCTGCTACATGCCACTGTCAGATCCCTTTTCCTCAACTTCTTCCCAGTCTTCAAAGCTAGGGGACAGGTCCTGATGGCGTAGTAACATGCAACTCTCAGTGCCAATGGACATTTCCTCTTCTAAATCTGTATCCATCCCCCTTTATCGCCATGTCGCTCA